GCTAATACCAAGGGCTCAAGTAGAAAGCAAATGTTTTGAGAATGATGAGGGCAACAAATGTACAAATGTACTTGACACAATGACTGAATATATGGATTGTGATAAGAGTTGTACAAGCCCCCAATAAAATGATTTAAAAAACAAGTAAACATGGAATTTTAGTGAACTACTTCCACTTCCAGGCAGAATTTTTTTAAAATAGTGGCTTTGTTTTTTGAATGGTGTTTTCTAAATATAGAAGGATAGTATAGAGAAGTTAAGACCTCAGAATACTTCTCATGGGTTAATCTGAGTATATGTATTTTGTTTAACCATTCATTTGAATGCTTACAATGTGCAAGAAACTCAGAGAGGAGAGCAACCTTAGTATAAGATTCAGCATTCTGAAATTAGTTTTAAGGATGTTCATTGTTGTTATAATTTTATAATTATTCGGATATTTTTAAAATGTAAACATCCTAGAAACAAAACACAAAGCATTATAGATATGGTTTGAGAAATAAAACATGAAACCAAATTTTCTTCAAATGTAAGCATGAAGGAACTTGTTTCTTCCAAGAGATGAAAAGGAACATAAAAGTTTGTTGTCCTTTTCTAGGCTGATGGTCACTTACATCTTCCATATTCTTTGCACTGTGTAGTAGCTAGCTTGGTGCTTGGTTATACCACCAAACATGGGGAATATCAAATATATACCCTATATAACTACTTTTCCATTTTTGTTAGTTTGTTAACCCTCTCTCATTAGTCTATGTCTGCTGGCCTGTCATAGTGGTTGCTACCAACACTTTTTTCACATGTGCCCCACAGCCAGCAGAAACAATGTTGTGCCCACCATTGCTGTTCCTGTGAGCTGGGATACAGGTTGTAGTGGGTGTGCATAGTCTCAACATTGCATTTTATTTTTCCAGCCCTGGTCAAAAACCTGTTGTCCCTTCGTCAAAATCCCGCCTTACCTTCTCAGTGTCTGTACTGGACCTTGACCTCAAGCCCTATGAGAGTATTCCTCACCAATATACACTGGATGGCAAAATCGTCAACTACTACTCGAAGGCTGTGCATGCCAAGGATGCTGCCACTGCCACACCACCCAGATTCAAGGGAAACGAGAATTGTACACTCCTTCTCCACAAAGTCTAACTTTTCTCCTGCAGTGTATTTGGAACTCAAATGTAGACTGGGAAGACTAATGATAGAGCTGTTTTCTGTTGTGTTGGGTGACTTTCGGTTATGATTTTTTTTTTTTTTTGGCTTTAACCTCTTTTGGCTGCCTCTCATAGACATGGAATTGAAGAGCAAGAAACATCTTCCAGGAGAAGGAAGTACTGACAAGAGCCCAGCAATGTACTGTTCCCCAGGAAGGGCTTTTATGTTCTTAAGCCAGTTTTTGGGAATCCCTGTAAAGATATTCTGGGTAGTTTCTCACTCCCAAACAGAGCTCATATCTAACTCTCTAATACAAAAGCCTTAGTGTGGGTCTCCTACCACCATATTCCTAACAGAAAACTGGAGTCATCATGTACATCTTATAGTTTGTGGATACTACTGGAACTTCTCAACCAAGCCATGTGGTGCTTTTTACGTGTGAGCCACACAGTACTACAGCGTGTGGGTGCATCGGAACAGTGATTGTGTGACTGGCTTAGACTCGGTCCCTGTGGATGTGGAGTCAGAGTCTACGTGGTGGCTTCCTGGGACAGCAGGGAATGCAAGGATTCCATTGAAAGGCACCCTTTTGACAAGAAATTGCTTTCTGTGGGGTATAGTAGCTGAGTAATTTAATCCTTAACATTAGGAATTGCTTAGTCTTTCCCATCTGAAATTGCTGCTGTAGAAGATAAAAATAGCGGAAGCTGCTGCAGGCTGGCTGGCCCTGCTAGGCCAATATCTGAGTGTGGGCCCCTGACATGTTTGTCCTTTCTGGGCATTGCAATATTTCCTTTTTCCTCTGGTTTGTTTGTGGCCCCGACTGCACACTGGGACTGGTAGAATGAGAATGCCTGCCAGCACCCAGAAGCCCTGTTTGTAGTCACCAGTGTTTGTTGCTATGAAACCCTGCTGGAGTCTTGGAGGCAGTTGTTTTGTTTTGCTTTGTTTTAATTTAAAATATATATATATATATATTTGAAGGCTTAGAGCCATGGTTGTGTGGGCTGCTAACCATAAGGTCAGCAGTTTGAAACCACCAGCCTCTCTGGAAGAGAAAGATGAGGCTTTGAGACTTTCTACTCCTGTCTTTTGGATAGGAGTTTTGGAAACCCACACAGTTCTATTCTGTCATAGGAATCTACTTGATAGTTGTGAGATTGTTTGTTTTTGATGAAGGTTTATTGTAACAGATGTTAGTGAAATCATGAGATTGTATGAAAAATGCTACATGAAAAATGAGCAAAATATTTTGGTGACGGTAACATTTTTATGGGAAATTTTGTGATAACTTGAGAATTATACTTACTTGAACCAAGCAAACTCTTCTAGAATTTGTTTTTCAATTCTGCTCTAATATGTCTTTCTTCATTCTACTTTCTGAAAAAGTTGTTTTTACTGAGCTCTCCCTCTGGTCTCACATCACAAATGGAGGTGGTGTGCATCTGGAAGGCATAATCCCCTAAGGGATAGAGAGCACATGGAGTCTGTGTAGACCCCACGAGAGGAACAGTGTGCTTAGGCTTAAGTTGATTCATACCTCTGGAGATAATGGAATGGAATGCAATAGGTGTTACGTGTCCATTTGATTTTATACAGTAGACCGGGTGCTCTTCCATATGTAATCACTTTCCATTAAATTATCTAATGTGAGCAACCGATCTGTTGATGAAAAAGGAAGTATATTTGAGGGTGTTGTCTGTAGCATATAAATAGATGTGCGGGCAAAGTTTAAACTCTCTTTCTCAATCCTGTACTCTTGTCATCCACCTGACCTCCAGTTCATGGGAAGTCCACAGAAGTCGCCATCCTACTACCTGATCTGCAGATTGTGGATTTGCCAGCCCCTGTAATTCATTGGGCAAGCATAAGTCTCTAGTCTGCTTTCGGACCTGCAGATTTTTATGTTTATCATTTCCTGCAACCTCATGAGCCAGCAGAGGTCTCCAGCCTATCACCTGACTCATGTACTTAGAACTCACTAGCTGTCACAATTATGTGTCAATTCCTTGAAGGACATATATACGTCAAGTTGTACTAGAGAACCTGGGCTAAGGCATGGTGAAAATGGCTACAGGTGCATTTGAAACAGCCTTTGCACCATGTTGCATTTGTGTTTTTCTGGCCTGAGATTTCAAGCTGCGAAGAAAGGACCTGTGCAGAGGTGATATGGTGTACCCTCAGGTTTCACGGCTGTTCCCATGTCCTCCCAGTCTCCTTTAACTAGTATTCCAAGGTTCCCTCTCTTTGGGTAAAAAGAGAAACTAAAACAGCAACCCCAACACACATATACCCTCTGCCCCAAAAGCTGCCTTATCTTCTTCGACTGCCTAGCTGTTTGTTGTATGGGGGCCTAAGGCCATCCTGGGACAAAGGCCACACCCCTGTCCAGTAGGCAGATGGTGGAGCAGCCTCAACTGTGGCCTAGGGGCTGTATGTCCTGTTTCAGGTAAGACCCTATTGCCAATAGCACTTCCTTGCCTGTGATGTTTTTATGTTTGTAACAGTACATTTTTATTGGCTCAAATAACATTTTAAATAGATAGTGGCACTGCTCACCACAGACACTATTACTGTAGCACTTTCCAAACTGTTGGTGACAATAGCAACACTAGGCTCTATAAAGTAGGAGCAGGTCCCCTTGGTGTTGGAGCAACTCAGGAGAGAATACACAATGTTATCTTTTGTCAGCAGAGCCTGGTGGTGTAGTGGGTTAGGCTACTGCCCAGGAGGTCAGCAGTTTTAAACTATCAGCCATTCTAAGGGAGAAAGATAAGGCTTTTTACTTCCATAAAGAGTGACAGTCTCAGAAACCCACTGGGGCAGTTCTAGTCTGTCCTATAGGGTCACTATGAGTCAGAATCAACGTGATGGCAGGGGTTTTGAATATTTTGATCTTCTGCCTCATTGTGTTCTTTTAAAGCTAGCATAGCAGCGCCACATTGAGTGAAGAGCAAGAAGAGCGATTATCATAGGATTTCCTGAGGGGGGCCTGTGAATGCCCCAAATGCCATTGCCCAACTGATAGAATAGTGGAGGGGGGAGTATAGCTCAGGCTCTATGGTAGTATCCAAGAATCTAAAATGCCCAATGTTTCACCTCAGGAAGCAGAGAAATGTTTTAAAAATGACGCTAGGCCAGTATATTGCTTCTAAGAGTTACACCCAAAACCTGTGATACCAACTCCCAAGATTTGTGCTCACAAAATCTCTCTCCAGGTGACTGTAAGAATGTACAGTTATTCTTGGTACATTGACTCAAATATCAAGCTTATTTAAAAAAAAAACACACTATACATGCCACTTGTATGACATTTTGTATTTAAATAGCTGTATTTATTTTTCATGTCATGACAGTTTATATATGTGCCATATTGCATTAATAGCATGTTTTAAAGGTCTGATTTCTAAATGGACAATAGCAAATGTTTATATTCAATAAAATAATAAATTGCCTAGTGCAGAATCTTATTTCATCAGTGTTCCATTTTCATGAACTAGTCATTCTTTTGTGTTGAAAATAATTTTATCAGGTTTTCTAGAGAAGCTTCGATTCCAAGCACTCCTAGCAGGGTGCGGAAGTTGAGAGGTGCACTTTCTGTAACTTTCTTCTTGTCCAGTTCTAGAGCTATAAAGAAAACATACACCAGCTAAGAAACATCAAAGTGACCAGCTAGTTTATATACACAACAAAAGTACACAAATACAATATCTGTCAAACCTGTGGTATATTTCCACCTTCCCTCCCAGCCTGCATGTCTGTCTAGGCATCTCCTTGTACATCCCCACTATTGCAAGATTTGGCATTAACTCTTGTAAACACAATACACGGTAAGAGAGAGATTAGGAAAAAATGTTGGAGATAGGCCCAGCCCCATATTTTTGAGTGATTGTCAATATAAAATATTTAAACACAATACACAATAAGAGAGAGATTAGGAACAAATGTTGGAGATAGGCCCAGCCCCATACTTTTTGAGTGATTGTCAATATAAAATATTTCAAATGATAAAAATATGTAAAAATGAAAATGTAAACTTTTGAGTTTTGCCATTGAAAACTAGATAAAGAAGTTGGAGCGAACTGCTCTACTTGAGGTCGGTGGTACATTATGGTGGATTAGGCACAGGGTGCCTCCCTGTGTACGAGGCCTCCTCAGACCAAAAGGGGATGTAATGTCGGATGTGCAGCTTGTCCCTTGCCATCCCTGGGCAGGCAAGAATTCCTCCCAGAAATAGCCTGAAAGCGCTCCATCTGGTCTAAGTATACAGTCTGCATACCCCTGACTACAGTACTCCGACCTCTGTGGTTGGCCTGCTCCAAGTACTTTTCTTCTTCCTAGGTCCTGCGCCCTATTCCCCCATTTTTTCCTCCTTTTCTTTCTCTTTCCTTGATTTTTCCTTTCCCTTCTTTCTCCCCCCCCCCTTTTCATAGTTTCATCTTTACTATTTTCTCTTTTTCTTTTATTGTGGCTTCCCCACTGCATTTTTATTTTCCTTTTTTTCCTTACTGTTGTTTGTGTACTAATTTTTCCCCTTACTATTTTTTTTCCTCACCTGTGACCTGGTGGTATAATGGTTACACATTGGACTATTAACTGCAAGGTCAGTAGTTCTAAACCAGCAGCTGCTCTGTGGAAGAAAGACAAGGCTTTCTACTCACATTAAGAGTTACAGTCTCAGAAACCCACAGTGATAACTTCCCAGTCTTATAGAGTTGATATGAGTCGAAATGGATTCGATGGCAATGATTCTGCCCCCTCACTACCTTGTCCCACCTAGCAGGAGATAACAGTGCTCACATGTTCCAGCCACACCCATACCTCCTTCAGCCCTGCTCCCTGGAGGAGGGGCAGACCTCATTCCTGTACCACTTGATTAACTAGAGAAAGGCCAATGCTAATCAAACTCACTACACAAATACTGAACAAAACTGCATACTTACTCCTATTTCCTATCACACCCACCAATACACAGGCTATATTATAACCAATATATACCCACTAATTTAATAATATAACACACCACAATGTCTTCGAGAAAACAGTTTCAGTTTAACAAACTGCCCTTATGATTCTGCAAGTTTGCAAATCTTTATAAGAATAGAGTCTCATCGTTCCCCCATGGAGCTGACTGGTGGTTTCAAATTGCTGACCTTGTGGTTAGCAGCCCAATATGTAACCACTACACATTGATAGCATCATTAGTTTAGCCAATGGTATAAAATTTAAAACACTGGACACACTCAGATGTGAGGGAAACCTAACTGCAGCCATGAACAGCAATGAATGCTTCCAAGTGTGGGTGATCTGGCCATTGGGTTTGGGAATTTACTACTGAAGGAGGCCATGGTCCTGGAATGCGAATCTGTGGCAGAGGTTTCCAGTTTGTTTCCTGATCTCTTCCAGATAACTCTTATCATTGTGGTAAGTCTGGTCATCTTGCCAAGTATTGTGATCCTCAGGAGGATGGTGCCTGCTATAACTGTGGTAGAGAGGGGTCATACTGTCAAGGACTGCAAGGAGCCCAAGAGAGAGAAAGAGTAGTGTTTTACAACGGGGACAAACCAGGTCATCTGGCTTGTGACTGTGACCACACTGAGAAGCAGAAGTGCTATTCTTGTGGAGAACTTAGACACATTCAAAAAAAGACTGCACCAAAGTGACGTGTTATAGTTGTGGTGAAACTGGTCATGTAGCGATCAAATGCAGCATGGGACAAGTGAAGTCAACTGCTAACTTCCATAGTGAATCAGGGCACCTTGCACGGGAATACACAATTGAGGTTACAGCTTAATTATTTTCCTTTGTTATCCCTCCTTTTTCTGATTGATGGTTGTATTATTTTCTCTGAATCTGCTTCAATGACCAAAGGTGGGTAGATAGAGGCTTCTCCAAGGAGGAAAGAGGTGGGGGGAAAAAATAGATTTTCTGCATTAAACTACCGAAAAAAAAAAACCAACCTAAACAGTTTGGTAGAGGTGTTAGGTATTGTTCTTTGTTAAGAAAAACATGCTCATTCATGACTATACAAGAGAGAAACCAGGATAAAAGTTTAAACAGGAACAACCTTTCATCACAGAGTAGATGCCGAATAATATATATGGTGATGGCAAAGGTTTGGAACACATTTTTTCCCTCAAAGACTGAAATATAAAACCCAGAGTAAATATCAGTGCTGACAGCATAATTTGGAGCTTGTTCATGAATTGCAAAGAAATGCATTTTCACAGAAATAAAAATGTTATTTTGTATACTATATCACTTAGACAACTGTGTTTCATTTACTGTAATCAGTTTTTTAAAGACAGATGGAAAAAGCAACTGAAGTCCTAGAAAACAAATGTAATTTTAAACTATCCAATAAAGCTAAAGAATGAAGGGGAGTTTGGTGAAAAGAAATTGAGTATAGGCTAACTATGAACCGAAATACATGAATGGTTGACTTGCACAGATTAAACTCTTAAGTGACTAGACACTCTTCACACCACAATCCAACATACACTCCCACCAGAGTGATAAGGAAACCTTACTGGAAATTCAAGTCAAGATGGGGGAGGAGGGCATGTGTGTTTTCAAGGAGGCAACTTCATCTCTATAGGTAAGAAAATGTGGAGGAACAACCACTCACTGGGAAAAATGCTAAATAATCCTGATGTGGAATCCAAGGGAATATGCCTCATCCCAGGTTCCTAATTGGATATTTTTTACTTAGTTTCTATGCAGCCCTATGTGCTACAGAACACTGGGACTTTAAACTCTGTCCTTTTGAGGCACATGACATCTTTCATAGGCCACACCAGAAGGACTTAATGTGGAAACCTCACTAAATGAACTTGGCTTTACCTCAAACTCACTTGTAGCCCTTGAACTTAATGCTGAAATACCCTAGCATGAGATGAAGCAGATGACTGCTAGCCCAAGGATAGAACTGACAAATGTTGGACTTTTGTTCAAAACTCTTGCCTTGAGGGTACCCAATGAATGGGAACTACTATATACTTACTGTTTTAATGCCCTCCTTGCAATGATATGTATTAACCTGGTAGGTGTGGTTTTGCTGCTGTGAATGAATATTATTGGAAGATTTGACTTATTTCAAATCCCTATTGTTCATAACAATAGAGGAATTTATAAGTTACAGAGTAACCACAAAGAAAATTAATAAATCTCTTCAAAATAAAGTATTTAAAAAATAACAAAGATTAGTAAAGGCTAAAACATCAATGAAGAAAATGCTAAGAAATCCTACAAATTCAGCACAGAAAATTATGTGGAATAAAGAAATCATATTGATCATAAACCAAATTAATTCATGCCTATTGATCATTCCCTAAACGTAAATGCACCAGTCAAGAATCAGAGTAGCGAACTTGATAAAACAGACTATTGACAAACCACTGGTAAGCAGTCTACAAGAGACACAGCTTAAACAAAGAAAAAAATAGACTAAAAAACAAAGGATGGAAAAAGTACATCAAGCTGATGACAATCAGAGAGGAGTAAGGAGTGGCAATATTAATTTTTGATAAAATGGACTTTAAGGCCAAAACTTCCCATTAGAAACAAGGAAAGTTTTCACTCCCAGGTTTCGGCACTGAAAAAAAAAAGAAACAAGGAGAGGCCTTGTTAAATGACTAAAGGCCAGTTAAATAGGGCATGGCCATAATAATATTTGTCCACTCAATGGGAGAGCCTTAAAATATACAAATTCTAAGAGAATTGAAGAGAAAAATAGAGAGGTCTATAATAATAGCAGGAAACTTCCTGTCAATGGACAGAAAACCAAAAAGAAAATGACCCAGATGTACTAACAACAGAATCAACTAACTCAACCTCAGAGACATATACAGAACACTCCATCGAACAACTGCACAATCTACATTCCTTTCCAGAACGTAAGGAACAATCTCCAGATTAATTCATGTTAAGTCACAATACAATGTTTATACCATATATATTCAGAGAGTAGCTGATATTTATCCTACTCAAATTATTAGAGTATAAAAAATATTGGACTACCCGATTAATTTTATGAATAAAGATATCCCTGTTATCAAAATCAAGCAAAGATATTACTAAAAAAAAAACCAGTATCCCTCATGAACATAGGCACAAGTTTCTCAACCAAATTCTAGCCAATAGAATCCCACAATACACTAAGATAAAAATACTAAAATAATATAAATAGAGGAATTCCTCAATGCAATATATAACATATACAAAGCCAACAGCCAACTATTCTTCAAAGAGTAGAGGTGAAAACGCATTCCTTTTGCACACAGGAACCAGATAAGGATGGTATTTATTACCATTCCTATTATGTGCTGAAAGTCATAACCAGAGCTATAGGCAAAAAAAGGAAATTAAAGCCATAAAATATTGGTCAATAGAATACAAGAAAATATATATATTAAAAAATTTACCATGACCAAGGGATGCAGGGATGGTTCAACATACGAAAGACCATTAATATCATTTGCCACATTGACATGAAAAAATTTAAGAACCACATGATAGTATCGATAGATGCAGAAAAAGCATTCGACAATATCCAACACCAATTCCTGTTTAAGACACTTGAGAAGATAGGAATGGAAGGAAAATTCCTCAAGACAATACAAGCTATA